GGGGCTTCTCTATGATTTCATTACTCCCAACCTTACATTTCAGTTACATTACAAGTACTGCTGTTTGAGAGGACCCTGACTATGCACAAACCCGACGGGCCAGGCTCGGTTTGAACCATCCTTCTTAACAACCTCATATATCTGCTAGAAGTGCTGCAACGGACCAATTGATCCATCTACTCAAGACAGCATGAGATGAAAGTTAGAAACATGAGGAATATTCACTGTGAAATCCTTCTTCAGATTCTTGATTCCATTTAACATAGAGAAAGTCCGATGGTAAGATATTTAGCCTACTGCATATGGTCCCATTTCTTGCAGTTCTTCAGGCAGTTTACAGCATTTCCTCGAGAGTTGGAAAGCCTTATTGCAACCTGACCTGGCTAAGATATTTAGCAGTAGAAGAAACAAGTTGTGGTCCTTGACTCCTGACACCAAATTCTGGGTTATCTGGTTATAAAGGAAAAACAGAATATTCTGCCAGTCAGGTTTAGAGGTTGATAGTTTGACTGCAAAGGTGGACAAATAACTACTTGATTGGGCAAGAGTGAATTCAAGGGCTTGAAGCAGTAACAGTTTCCTAATCAGTGGAATAGAATTCTTTTTGGGGATGATGTAAATGAGCGACCAACAGATGTTTTTTGTTTAGTTAGTAATACTTTTTGTTTATCATTCAACTTTGTACAGTGGCTTGGTACACCAAGGCTCTGATGTGTATCTTGATTCTTCTTCAGTTAATACAATACAATTTGTACTTTTCAAAAAAAAAGTCATCAGTTCATATTCGTAAAGAGAAGAAATGCAAAAATAAGAAGATTGAACTTAAATGCCCAACAAACTGAAGATCCCTAACCTGTTTAGATGTAGCTTCCGACGACCCCATTGCATTCTCAATTCTCAGTTTCTGGAAATGTTCCTAATAGCAAGTAAATACTACATAGAATAAGGATCGTGCAAGAGCATGCATACATTTGACAGGAATTGAAATAAACCTACTTATTTATCTCCGTGTATCTCAAATTCTATACCAGAAGCACCCTGATATTTCCATGTAAAGCATCCAAGCCTATTTGAATCATGTCAAAATGAAACCACCACATCTTATAAGCCAATATATTTGCCATTCTTTAATATATGCCTACAGAACCACTACCCAGTGATGGTCCTGATTATCCAGGGTCCTGGGAGGAATAGACTGGATATAGACCTAAAATTTGGATTTTTTTCCCTTTTTCTTCTTCGTTTGCAGAGTGGCTGTCCTTTAGACAAGAAATGCCTAGATGACAAGGCATCCATGAAAGGTTGTTTCACTTAAGCACCTAACTATTTTATGCACAGTGCTATGAAATATTCTTATATTCTTTTTCTGAGGCTACAATAAAAAATAGGCATTATTAAACTAAGTTATTCATTTTGTGGGATTATCACTAGATTCCTTTTATTATTTTCTTATTTGTTAAGGTTCAATAAACAAAAGTGTTGGTGTAGGCAGTCTTCAACCCTCAAAGATTTCAAAAACTAAACCGATAAGGAAAAACTTAACTATGTTGATTTACTATGTTTCAGATGAAGTTTACACTTTTATGAAGATTATAGATAATTACTTGTGAAAAATGGTCGGTGGTGATATTGAACCTAGGGAATTACCATAGGATTAATTGTTACTAAAAAAAAACATCACCTAGGCGACACCTTGGCACCTTGAATACTATGTTCCCATACTTGTATCCAAGATTTTACCATTTTCAAAGCAGTGGCCCCTATTTGTTTAAACATTTGTGTACACATTGCAAATAAAAGAAATCCTTATCTATATAAATAATAACATCAATCTCTGTGAAAACTTGCTTCCTTCGGTCTGAACACATGGTTGACAAAACAACCACCGCACATTTTCTTTCTTATTGTAATTTATATGACTACAGGATCAATTAGAAATAGAAACTTATATTCATGCAAAAAGGCTACTCTTTCCATCTTACTTTCGCTTTAGAATCAGTGTTTTAAAAGCGCAAGGCACAAAAAATGAGCAGGGGTCAATTTGCGCCTGAGGCACAAGGCGCAAGGTGAGGCACACGCCTTTTGAAGCAAGGCACAAAAATACAAAAAAAAAGCTAAAAAATAAAAAAAAATGTCTGAAAATTCAAAAAAATGTCAAAAATGCCAAAAAATTAAAAATATATATATTAAACATAATATTACTAAAAAATATAAAGTTAAATTTTAAGATAATGTTTTAAAAAACCTATTATCTAAAATTAAAATAAATAAACATAAGATGTAAAGCATATTCAAATGAAAATTTAAAAATAAAATCAAAGATATAAAACATATTACAATCCTGATTCTACGAGCCGCCTTTGTGCCGCTCCCCTTGAGGCAAGCCCAAACAAGTCCACATTAGGTCTTAAATTCTTAGTTTTCACGCAAAAAATAACGATTTTATAGTTTTAACTGCTTTTTAAGAAGACATTTTATTAGGATGAATGAATGAACAACATTACCAAATCGGGGGTTCTCGGACCTTTGGTGAGCGAGCAAAGCGAGTGAATTTCTTTTTATTATTTTATTACAAAATAGACATTATTAAAGAAAAATATTCATTTTAGTGTTTATAAACACATTTCTTCCATAAGGGAAGAACTTAAAATTTTGTCTAATCAACACATTTCTTCCACATCATCATCATCTTCTTCTTTTCCTATAACAAAAATAGGGGTTCAGCCCTATATTTTTTGAATTTTCTTTCCTTCCTTCTTTTTCTTCTTTTTCTTCTCATAAACATGAAGTTTATAATTTTCTTATGAAAATTATGGATAGTCATTAAAGAAAGTTGGTTATGGAACCTAGGGAACTACCCTAGGATATGTGATTTTTACTTAAAACAATCCATCGCTTAGGCAACTAGGCAACAAAGCGCCCCATTGTTGCCTAGCCTCACCTTGGTGCCTTGAAAACTATACACCAAAATTTTCTGTTATAATAAATTGGAAATCTTCAGGCTTCTTCAAAAGTTCAAGAGGCATTCGATAGGGTGATCCCTTGTCTGCTCTCCTCTTCCTTTGTATAATGGAGGTCCTGACCCAATTCATCAATAATGCAGGGCAGGCAGGTCTCTGGGAAGGTTTTGAAATTATTCCAGGGGGGTGAAAGGGTCAATGTACTCCACTTTGTGGATGATACACTTTGTTTCATTAATGCTTTGATCTCTCAATTAGAAACACTAGTGGGAATCTTCTCTTGGTTTGAAGTGGTAACAGGGCTGATGTTGAACTTGGGGAAATCTTCTCACATTCCAATGGACAGGGTTGAGGACAATGATCTATGGGCAGAAACTCTTCGATGTAAGGTGAATAATCTTCTTACCACCTATCTTGGTTTGCCTTTGGGTGCAAAGTTTTTTTCTACAACAATTTGCGAGCCAGTGATGGAAAGACTAGAAAGGAAACTTACATCTTGGAAGGCAAAATATTTATCAAAAGGGGGAAGAATGACCTTTATCAGAAGTACTCTCGCAAATCTACCAACGTACTACCTCTCCTTCTTCCTTAAACCAAGCTCAATAGCTAAGAGAATAGAAAAATTGCAAAAGAACTTCCTATGGAAAGCATGGGAAGATGAGAAGAAAATTCACATGATATCTTGGGATAAAATTTGCACTCCACAGGATTCAGGTGGTCTGGGTCTAAGAAGAATTAAAACTTTCAGCACAGCCTTAAAAGGAGTGGGATTCCAGTTAGGAGATGGGGGTGGAGCTCGTTTTTGGAAGAACAAATGGCAAAACGATGTATCTTTGGAAGAGAGATTCCCCCTTTTGTTCTCAGTGGCTGACTCTTTCAAGTTAGTTCGAGATGAAGTGGTGTGGAAGCCTAAATTCTGAAGGGATTTTCAAGACTGGGAAGTGGCTGAAGTTGTGAACCTGCTGAGTAGCCTAAATAGTTTCTCCTTCCACCCCCAGTCAAGAGACCAATGGACCTGGACCTGGACAGCTGATGGAAATTTCTCAATCAGATCTTTCGCATGAGCTGACTAGGGGTGAGCATTATTCGGTTAAAACCAAATAATTGAACCAAAAATTTCGGTTTCGGCTTTTTGGGTTTGGCTTTTTCGGTTTTTGGTTAAATCGGTTCCGTTTTTCGGCTTTTGGCTATTTCGGTTTTCGGTTTCGGTTTTTGAAATTAGAATTCCAGTTAACTGAATTAACCAAACTTTTTATTATTATATGTAATATGTAACATATTATATATTTATATATTAATATATAATATACTGAAACTTGATTTCATAATATATATTTTATAATATATAATAGAGTATATATTATTAAAATTCGGTTTTAACTGAAATAACCGAACTGAAAATTTTGGTTTCGGTTATTTCGGTTATTCTAAATTTCGGTTCGGTTTTTTATTTTTTTTAATTTTGGTTTATTCGGTTCGGTTTTTAACTGAATAAACCAAATGCTCACCCCTAGAGCTGACTGGCAATAGGAATGCAGACTTCCCTTGTAAGCAAATCTAGATCCCTTCATCTCCATCTAAAATCAATTTCTTGATCTGGACCTCAGCACTAGGAAAATGCCTAACAAGAAGCAGCCTGGCTAAGAAGGGATTCAGTTTAGAGGACCTAAGTTGTGGAATTTGTGGTCTGGTCCAGGAATCCATGGACCACCTCTGCATTCATTGCAAGCTTTCTTGGAAAATATGATCCCATTTCCTCTCTGCTGTGGGTGTTTTCTGGGTAATGCCGAGCACAGTAAAGGATCTGTTACAAAGCTGGCACCTCCTGGGCTATCAAAGAAAGACAATTACATTTGGAGATCTATCCAGCAGCAGTAATCAGCACTTTATGGTCAGAGAGAAATGACAAAATTTATAGAAAATAGAAGAGCCCTAAGTGTTGATGCAATTTATTTTGGGCTGCGCTCTGTAATCAGAACTCAGCTCTTGGTTATCAGTCCTACCMGAGTTCTGTAATCAGAATATGTTTCTGATTCTTCATTTAGTTAATTCAAGGGATCTCTGATCTTTTCCTGAGGGGGGATCTGGTTTATGGTTCTTCCCTCTTTGTATGACTATTTTTCTCATTAGGCTCAGTTTGGAAGGAGTACAAATACAAATATGTAGAGTGCAAAACTATGTATTTTGTATGTATTTGTACTGTACATATTTGTATTTCTACTCCTTCCAAACTGAGCCTTAATAGAATTTACCTTCCAAACTGGGGGACCACACAATAAACGACAAATAAGCACTTTTACGCACTTGGCAAAAAAGGAGTGAATAAGTGCATATTTTCAAAATAAATACTTAAAAGCAACCCAGTGGATGCTTAAGTTAAAAGCACTTATTCCAATTTTTTTGGACAAAACTGTCCCCATCGTTATTTGAAAATCCCATCAAGCATCTTCTCCACTTGAGCTCCAACACAAACCAGGGCTGGCAGCAAGCTACTCCAGGCTGAGATATTGTTCCAGGTGCGTGGATATCCTCTCTTTTTCTCCATTTTGTGCGCCGTTTTGGGCAACTCTTCCTGGCTATAATTGTCAATTCCACAAATATAAGTACTTATTGGTTATGTGGCTCACCAAACACTGTAACCCAAATAAGTACTAATGAACTTATTTCTCAAACCACTTATTTACCAAACATAGCTTGGGTCCACCTGACTGAACCAATTATGTCAGTTCTTGTTCTGTGATTTTGTCCCGAATAATAATTGGATTGGAACTGGTTCTTAAGGTTCTGAACCGATGTGTACCGAAACCAATTATATAGTTAATGATATATAAAGATCTCTTGTTTTTCTTTTTTCAACTTTCTATTATATTTTATATCTAAAAGAGTAAATGTCATAAACGGTAAATATGATGATTGTGGTTAAAAACATATATTTTATCAACATATAAACAGTTTAGTATTTTAGTCTCAGTTTCATTAAGGTTTTTTTTATCAAGGAAAAGTTGTATATCAAGAATTCTTTTTTTTTCAACGAAGGTGGCAATAGCAGGACTGGAAGCCGCATTTCCACTGGGACTACCCAGCTAACATACCAACCGAGTCACCACTCAGTTTTATTAAGGTTATATTATGAAAATGATGTTCTAAACTGTTATTATCATGGGTAATTATAAGTGCCAAGTATAGTTGGGTCCAATCAGGTCAAACCTGATTCTCCTGATTAATAATCAGTTCGGTTCTGGGTCCTTCATACTGTCCCGATTAGTACCTGCAATGGGGCTGGTACACCATGTCCCAAACCAGACACAACCCATTGACAGCCCTACCTAAGAGCGCCCAAAGTGTGCCTTCAAAAAAATTGATTCATCCACTACATTCCAAGAATGAAAGGCATTGCAATCCATGAAATGGAAGACTACCTGTTTTTCTCTCATTAAATGAGCACGCTTATCAGCAGGAATTTGCTCCCAGCTTAAGACCTGTTCAATAAAAGCATGTCAACAAATTGATCAGTAAGTTTACTTCACAACAGATGCAAATATTTGACCCAAAGAAGCAAAGTTACAGCCCCAATTGCAACTAATATGAAGTTGTAAAGAGCTTCACAATCAGATCCGTAACACTTCTTATTGGTAAATAAAACTTAAATTTTGAAAATGTCAATTAGCATACATATTCAGCATAATGAAATGCTTCTTCACACTTCAAGGAAGACTTCAGCGCACGTAAAACATCCTGAAGAAAAACTGCTAGTCAGAATAATACAGGCACTAAAAAGGACAAAAACTAAAAACCGTGGGTAATACAAATTTAATTATATATGTAAAAATTAAAAAAAAAACAATTTAAAAAATGAAGGTAATCTGAAGAAAAACCAGTTATCATTTTTTCTTCAGAGAAGGTCCAAAAGAAGCTACACTAAAACTACAGATTAAATGCAACAACCAGTTATATGGCTTTTGATGCATTATTAAAATCTAAACCCAATGAAACTAAGGCATAAAAATCAAGTACTGAACCTTATGACTTATTCTCAGAGCTGTAGCAACAGTATCTGGCTATTTCCAAAGTAGTGCGACCAAATACAAAGAAGCTGTGAGAGTTTCAGACCAAAAACACAAAAGCTAGACAAAATTGGCCAAAAATATATCCAAATATATCTTGGAAATGCTATTCCCAAAACAGCGAGATAAAATCAGTAAGCAAATTAAGAAACAACCTTCTTGAATATCATCAAATTTTCTCAATAAGAAATAAACAAATAAGTCCTTTGTTCCATTAACCATCTCCCTGTTTTCAAACCATGCATTTCCCTAACCGCCTCAAAGAGATACCCATGTTACAAGATGAAGCAAATAAGGATAATTTAAGATGTTGGTGAAGTTCTTGATCTTCAAATCTTAATTCCACTTAGACAAGGATAGAAATTCACTTGTGTGCATGCTATGGGAGGTTAAGCAATGAATGGCAATTGTTAAAGTAATTACAAGTTAAGAGCACAATGAACTAGTAAATTTGTTGCAAAATGGGGACAAACCTTGTTTTTGCATGTCTTTATTCTAAGCCGTTCATCAATTACAAAGCCAACCTGAACCATACATTAAAAAAGTAAATAATAATCGAAGAAAAGCGTCATCAGATGCATATATCCTAGTATTAAACTAAAAAAATAAGCATGGAAATAATGTCACCATGGCATTATGGCATTTTAACCATATTAGTTTTTTTTTTCAAGTATGATAACGTCATTATGGAATTGTGCATTGGCATTTTAACCCAGACAGTTGACCTGCTGCTAAACCATTAATTTCCAGCTCTAATGGATGTTCATCCACTATTGTATTCTTGATCAGTATTAATGATACTGGTTTCCCAGCATCAATACTGGATTGAAATTTCTATGCCAACCATTTCCAAAAAGGAACAACGATGCAGCAGCTGCACACTTTTGAGGAGATAAAGAGCAGACGTAAGAAATAACAATAAGATTCCTTATCAGTGTGGTCAACTGATAAAGAGCACAGTCCAAAGTACTGTGCTGCACACCACAAATATCAGAGGTTCAACTGTGGTCAAAAAAGAGGTCAAACTGTGCTGGCATATATATGTACATATATATTGCAAGTTACATAAATACTATATCCGATATATTCTACAAATGTTATTGCACTTGAATGTGATGGATAAATGGCTAAAACCTTAGTTTTTTAAAGCAAATGACCAAGATCCAAGACTCAACTCACATTTTCTTTAAAAGAACGTGTGTATTAAAGCAAAATATACATCAAAGAGGCATAAATCAACACAATTTTTTTTCACAATTGAAGAGGAATTTTATTAAGACAATATGAGAACTGTTACAATCACCTTACTGAGAGGCATGAGGTGCGATCTCCCTTAAAGAGTGAAAATGAAAACAAATTAAGAGATGAATTTGTTAGACAATGTATGCCCTTAGGCCTTAGCTCCAATCAGATTGATGTACATAAACATTTACCTGTAAATGAATAAAGTACATTATTGTTTCATGTTAATGATGGTATGTTTTCTGTGAATTACCCCTTAAAATGGACACTTATGAGACTCATGTTAGTTTAGAATGTTCTCAGCCATTGGGTAAACTTGGGGAGTTTATCCTGACAAGGCTAACACTGGCGTGCTCCAAATAGTTAGAGCAGCATGTCTCGGTTGGAAGGGTTAGACCCCAAGCACAAGCAATAACGGGTGTTTGAAAGAAACATTGAACCCAGACCAATTTTCCAGTTATTAAGGGTGGATTCGAACTGAGCTGAGCCGAATACTTGGCTATTCGAGCTCAGCTTGCAAAAACAATGTTAGGCTTGAGCTTGAGCTCGACTTGGTTAAAAAGATCGCAAGTTTGAGCTCAACTACAAGCCAATCTTTTCTAGAAAATAAAAATTATACATATAAAAATATTTTCTATTTTACATACAAAAAATTAAGAATTATAAAAATTATTTACTATTGCACATAAAAAAATAAAAGTATTATTATACATAATAAATTTTTTTTATTATAATATATAATATAAGAACTATTTAATTATTATACTAGGCTCACAAGCCTCACTAGCCAAGCTTCATTGGGCTCGATTAGCAAACAAGCCTATATATCGAGCTTGAGCTCAGCTCGAAGCTTGGTTTCAACCAACCCGAGTCGAGCTCGAATAGCACGCAAGAAGCTCGGCTTGTGGCCACCCCTACCAGTTATACCCTGGATTTGGAGATAGATGGGCAAAAATGAAAAGTTACACATAACCCCAGACTTGATTTTGATACTACACTAAGTAGTGGACCGGGCTGCCTTTGATGTGCCAAGCAGTGAGATCAATCATGTGTCAAAATATTTAGGCATGTTGGGATAGTTTGGGATATTACTTGAGTGGGTGATCATAGTGATAGGATTGACCCATTTGTCAGACAAAGTGAATACAAGGCTTTGACTCTCTCTAATGGAAACCCAAACTGTCAGCAGTGGATTTCATTTGTGTTTGAAATTCGGTTTTGCAAAATACATTTATATATTATTATACCACTATTTTATGAAAAAGGTTTGCAAAAGATTTTACTCCCGGGATCCATTCGAGCAGAGAATGTAACATTATATCTTGCAAGGGAGATGTCCTTCCTTGTGTGTAATGTTTTAATGATTATTGGCTGAGAGATTGTGTAAGAGACCATTACAGGGATGATTACCTGATGGGCTTTATCTCACATAAGTCCATTATCCTTGAGACTTTATAGGGTGGTTGAATCCAATGATCATTTAGGTGTAAATGTTGGGTCTAGACTGAGCCCATGCCGATTGGCTCAAGGGTTCATTGCCCTGAGTAGTGAATTCAGCCTAACCTCTTTCAGAGGTGGGGCCGAACCCTCATGGACTTGTGTGAGCCCTTTGTGGGGTCCCACGCCATACAATATCAGGCTCAAAGTGGTCATGCAAAACCTAACCTAGGGACATGAGTCATTAAAGAAAATGGGCCAAAGGCCATATACGAGGGTTAAGAGGAAGAAGGCGAATAGAACTTGCCTTCCTCCTCTCTTGCTCTCTCCTCTCCAGAAACCTTAGTTCAACCTAAGCATTGATAGAACTGATTTTTATCAGTTTTTCGAGTACATTTTTGCAAGAAAAACGTTGGGGAAATCAGGCTTACAAAACCTCGTCGATCCAAGGAAGTTGGATAGCAGTTTTGCAGAAAATAGTGTCGGTGAAACAGCTTCTCATTCACTGCGCCATCTTCAATCGGAGGCCAATTTTTTGGACTGATTTTGGGTGTGAACTACCACTCTGGGAGCTGCGATTTGTGGACTCGGCATCAGGTACAATTAGTGTTAATTTTGGCTTCAAATCTGGTCTATTTCAGTGCAAAGATCGATCAAGAAATTTCAGATTTCAAAATCTCCCGGAAACTGGTTCCCGGGTTGGGTTAGAACATTTTTGAAATTCAGCCAGCCATTAAACCTAGTTTGGCCATCCATATTCTGGATTCTAACTCATCCAACAGAATTAATAGTAACAAGACAATACACAATTAAAAGGCAATGGGTTCAAGTCCTGCCACCAACATTTTGAAACTTCCATTCATTTGATGGCCATGCGGTTTTATAAAACCGGGTCTGATTCACCTATTTTGTGGTTAAACTAGATGGTTGGCCAGTTTTTCATGAATTAGGGTATTCAGCAAATGACTGAACTAACAAAGGCATCAGGTCACGATTCAACCAGTCTGATGAGCCAGTTCAATCTAGTTTTCTACACAATCATTCTAGGTATAGATTACCTTCCCTCAAATCATGAAAGAAAAGGCTTTACAAAACACGTTAACATCGGCATATGAACTATCTCATGACAATATTTACCATATGAAGCATTGTAAGTGGTAATTGTAAAACAATAGGTCTCGATCATTTTCTACCGTTATAGATACCCATGCATTGTATAATAGAATTCCTCTATGGTACTTGTAGCCCCAAATGGAAAAACTTTTTGAGACCAAAGAGGGCCAATGCAAAGACAAAAAATAACAGTAAGCAGAATCAAGAACAAAAAATCATGACAATGAGGCATCAAGAACACCTTGTCCAGTAACCGCTTAGGATTTTGGAATGCTTGCTTTTTTGCCCATTGATGAAATAAATGGGAAATTATTGATCGGTCCTCCAAATTGAATCTGTCAAATATGGATAGATCAAATGACATTGAGCAGTGGAAGAGCAAAAAAAAACAGAAAATAACAAGAAATGATTGCAGGATTTAGTCAATAATCCTATTTTAAATAAATACCTTCTTAAAAAGTTATTGCCATTTGACCCCAACAACAGTTCTGGTGGAACATTAAAAACTTCACCACCTAGAGTATTGGAAGTGTCAGTTTCCCCCACATCTGCCTTCAGAAACTGTTCATGTTCTGCTGCAGCAACAGAAAATTGAGATTTTCCTTCTGAAAGCTCCCGAGGTATTTTTTGCAAATCTTTTCTAACCAATTCGCCCTGCAAGGAAATAAATTTGGCAACTAAATAAAACCAACAAAGAACAATAAAATTGTAGAGGAAAAGGATAATCCTCAACTACCATGAATGGAACTGCCCAAATCTCTGATATATGTTCACTTCAAAATGTGTATCCCATCTTTGATGAAGCAGGTAATAACTAAAGACCCTCAAACTCTTAAGATAAAAATTGATTATGAACTGATGGTTTGTAATGATAAGTGATATTATATACGGTCAAATAGATATTAATCTCAACTTCTTGTTGTTTGTGTTGAGTTATGGCTCTACAATTAATTTGTTTTGTTACATAGGTACCACTTAACAGCTATTTAATAATGGTAAAATGGAGTAATCCGAGGACTTATCAATTTGTCTTTTAGCAAACAAGTTATCAAGGATGTTGTGATCTCCTTAATGACTGAAGCTAAAATAGGGCTGAATGACGATCTACCTGTAGGGAGAAATCTGGAGCCAAAAGTAGTAAGAAACAATCTAGGGCTGTTAAGATCAATGGCAAAGAACCAAGTAGATATCAACACCAATAGCTTATGTGTGCAGTTTCTCGTCATGTTGTTATTAAAGCCAGGACTAATAGTGATATGCATCATTATTCATGCAACCAGGCTGCAATAAGTATTTCTCACAAATCCAGAAGGCAGGGTCAAAAAACACACAATGGGATTGCAATACATTGTCAAAACTTGAATAGAGAAGTTTTAACATCTCATCAGATCTGACTACCCATACAAACTTCAGTTCACCAACATATTAACTTAGGGAGTTCATATAGTTTGGGCGCAAGATAATTTGACCTAGTCATGAAGGATTGAAACTTTCCTCATAAATGAGGGGAATTGGTGATGAATAGATTGACTATTGTCTGTGCATTACTTACTATATTTGTGGATGGTGAGGACAATATTAAACTTGATAAATGAAGAGAAAAATAAGAAGAAAGCAAAAGATATAGGTTAAGTCAGAAGAGAAAAGAGATTGATCAAAGAGAAAGGTGAGAAGAGAAGAGAAGATTTTAAAAGGAAAAATCCTTTTAATAATTATGCATGTGGAGTGGTCCCAATACAATAACCCAAAAGAAAAAGACCACAATACCCTGCTCTCAGTACACCAATAAAATAACAAGGAAAAAACAAGAAACCAGCAAGACAAAAGACTAAAGACTAAAAATTGCAACTACAGGGCTGTCCAAATACATACATCATCTAAGCCTTATCCCAATTATATGCCAAGTATATGAGGTTGGCTACACGAATTGTGTTTCACCATTCCATTCTGTTTACTGTCATATCCATTGGGCTGTTCCAATACAATTATAACTCAAGAAAAAAGACCATAATACCCCTGTTGCCAGAACAGCAACAAATAACAAGGAAAAAACAATAAAATAACAAGATAAAGGGCAATAAATTGTTACTTAAAACTGTCATCGATTAACATAATTATGCTATCACTTGTGATTTCATATTTACAGGTCAACAATTGACTAATCAGTATGCACTAATTAGTCAATCATATGAAAAAAGCACATATTAGTGGTGGAATTAACACATGCTGCTAAAATTGCTAACTGTGTCCCAATATAATAAGAACAACTTTCAAGTTCTCCAATCAGGACCAAAATTTGGTAATTTCAAAGTCAACGCGATATAGAAGTTTCAGAAAAGAATAGCATATCAAAGAAATAAAAGGCAACACTCCACCCTGCTGCAAGCTAATATTAGATGCAAATATCAAGCAATTATTATAGACATGGCAACCCCAATTAAAAAGACTGCTCATGATATTAATAGCACAACTTTTCTGGCCGGCAGAATCAAAATTACTACACTCACAACTGTACATACCTGTACCTCCAAGAGGTGATCTGGAATTTCTTTTAGAAATCGTGAAGGCCGGAGCAACTGAAAGGCCCAGGTATATCAATTATAAATGAAGTAAGAAATACGGAAGCAAATAATAGATAATAGATAAGTAAAATTGACCTGCCAATTTGAATCCATAACAACATACAAGATGTAAAGTTTCTTTCTTGCACGAGTCATTGCGACATACAATAAACGCCTCTCCTCCTGAGAAAATATGCCAAAATATCAGGATACTATGAAAAACAAACAAATGAAGTAACACACACACACACACATGAAAAACAAACATCTGTTGAAATGCACGCTTACCTCAAGAGAGGTTCCACTTTCATTCACAACACCATTATATTCATGCAACAAAGGGATCTCAGATTCATTTGCCTGTGACAATAGATCAAAGAATCACTAAGCATAATAAATTCAAATGGAAACGAACACCCTCATTTAACATGACCTAGCAAAAGAATTATATGTAATTGTTGAAGTGATCTATTAGGCCCTATGGTTTGTTTTTCTTTTTTCAAATAAGCTGTATTAAGGGGCATGTAGTTAAGGGTAAACTTGTAATTTCCTCATTTCAGTATAAATAACAATTATTAGAGTGTGAGATCCAATTTAGACTAGCAGCCCACTTTCTATTTTCTCTCTTTCTTCCTTTCTTTTCTTCTTTTCTGTTCAAACCAGATTCTAATAACAAGGAACAGTGTTCAAGTCAATAAGCCATATATCAAATGAGCAAACACAAAACTAAAAGCCAAACTATCAAAGGACATAGTATCAAATTCCATCTACATACCTTGACAATGAAAACAGTGTCCCATTCCAATCCTTTTGACTGCACTAGCAACGAATCAAAAAGGGGAAAAGCAAGAAAGAAAATGCCTGTGAGATTCCAAAACCTCAACACAACTGGCTTTAGCAAGAAACTAAAGTTAACTCAGTAAGAATACATTTGCCTGTGAAACACCTGATGAATTGTGGTCAATGTGACAGAATCCTCATTATCTCGTCTCCTAGCCCGAAAGTTTTCTACCTCCCTGGCAGATATATAGTCAACAAATGCCTTGAGTACTTTGATACAGCCTTTCTTTTCTAATACACAGTCTCCTTCCACGTCAGTATTACTAAAATGTGTTGATAAGAAATCAGAGACATCATCCAGTAGGTACTGAAGGACCTGCATTGTGATATGTCCTCTAAACTTAGGTTAAACTTCCAGAGTGCAATCCTATTGTTACAATTGTGAAGATGTTTCCATGCAGATTTAGGGTTACATCATCTAGCTCTTGAGCCCATCTTTAGAGAATATGATGAAACAGATACACCCTCAATAATAGAAACCAGTAAGGAATAATGTTTGATAAGGGTAAAAAAAAAGAGAGGAGAATGGATCAAATACACTTAATACTCTAAATAAATTAATTAGAACTTACAGATCTTATGTCATTATCCTCATTCAATAATTTCCCACTATCAACATCAACAACAGCTCGCTGCTCAAGAAGGTATTTCTACAACATGGAAATGATAATAATTGTGTAGTATCAATTTAAGCAAAAAAGCATGTACTACTCAACATAAGAAATGTTGTCACTAAAGAGAATCCTTCACATCTAAGACATCATATTATTGCATTCTAAGTAATAGCACAAGAGAAGTCACTAGTACTTATGGCATTTTGGACAGGGAAGTAGATGAACATTACCAATGCCACCAAACCATCAACTAGTCAACCAACTAGTCAGTTGAGGGCCAAACTAACTACATCACATCACTAACTAGTTGGTCAAAAGTCATAACGCAGTTCCCTAGAATGACAAATGACAAGCAAACCTAGTCAACCAAACGGTCATTTTGAAGCTTTATTTGTTTGCTTCAATATCTAATTACTTGAAATGATATAGACTATGTTTTTTACATTTTATTAATTCATGATTGCTGCCTTAAAATGTTTTCTTCCAATCAGTAGTTTGTTCATATGGATTTTCCACAAAGAAGGGGCTCATCTAATGGTCAAGATGGCACCCTTCTTTGGAAAATAAAGGCTGCGATTCCCTACCCTACTCTATCCATCCCAGTGATTTAAAAGGCACGCCTAGGCGCTCAGGCGAGGCACATTTTAGGGTAGGCACCTCGCCCAGGTCCTAGGCGCAGCCCATTCAAAAGGCACATGCCTAGTGCGCCTTGCGCCATAGCCCAAGCGTGCGCCTTTTGAAAATTTGCTGCTTTTTCCCTTTTTTGAGTCTGGCCGTTGGGTAATGTTGTCCATTCATTCATTTTTAATAAAATATCTTCTTAAAAGCAATTTAAACTATAAAATTATTATTTTTTGTGTGAAATCTAAGAATTTAAGACCTTAACATGGACTTGTTTGGGCTTGCCTCGAGGGGCGTGGCACAAAGACGGCTCGTAGAATTAGCCCAGTCCTAGGTGCATGCCTGGTGCGCCTTGCGCCTTAGCCCAGACGTGTGCCTTTTGAAAATTTGCCGCTTTTTCCCTTTTAATGAGTCTGGCCGCTGGGTAGTGTTGTCCATTTGGTAATGTTATCCATTCATTCATCTTAATAAAATATCTTCTTAAAAGCAATTTAAACTATAAAATTATTATTTTTTGTGTGAAATCTAAGAATTTAAGACCCTAACATGGACTTGTTTGGGCTTGCCTCGAGGGGCGTGGCACAAAGGCGGCTCGTAGAATTAGGAATGTAATATATCACATTAGCTACTTGATGCAATTGAGAAAAAAAAAAAAGAGATTGTGGGTTTTATATGCTTGAAAATGTTTTATATGTTTGATTTCATTTTTATATTCTCATTTGAATATGCTTTACATATTATATTTATGTATTTTAATTTTAGATAATAGGTTTTTGAAACATTTATTTTAAAACTTAAGTTAATATTTTTATTAATATTATGTTTTATATTTTTTTTTTGAATTTTTTTGCATTTTTTTTAAATTATGTGCCTTGCCTCAAAAAGGCGCACGCCTTGCCTTGCGCCTTGCGCTTTTAAAACACTGATCCATCCTAACTTTTCCTTTATTTGCAAAACAATGACTATAAAAGTAAATGTTCAATATCATTCTTTTCTTGCAATTTAGTCAATACTAAGTTATCTATGAGATTGCATCTATATCTTTTCTATACACTAGCCAGCAACACCTAGGACTGATTATTCATTGACTTGTCGCATCAACTAATGAGACCAAAACAACTAGTCATTACTTTACCACATTGATAAAAGTAACACAGATCATTACTTCAAAAGCTTGAAATGGAAGTAATATGGTTTCATGACAGATGACATTCTCTGCTTCAGTTATCACCTGAATCATAGCCATCTGCTTTTAGTATAAAGGTTGAAATAATTTTAGCTTCAAGCCTTCAAGTAATCATTTGACAAGGAAAATGAAAAGGGGTTATTTTTGGGTCTAATGGTAAAATCTTGAGATGAGAAGCATGAGAACGCAGTTATGAGTTTGATTGCAGCCATTTTGTGTAAAAAGATAACAAAGTAGAGGCCCATATCAAGCCCACCCCTCTCAAGACCCCAGATGGCTAGCACCAACTTTGGGCATTCACCTTTTGGCTATCAAGAAAATGAGAATAGCTAAAAACAGCAGAATACAAATTAATACACATAATACCAAGCATTTAAATAGAAATCAATGTAACACTGCCACAACATTATTTTTCATATATTCATGAATGAGGATGCAAACCTGAGGCAACAAGTTCGCCACTGATGTTATGACAACTGAAATCGATTGTTCCTGTAACCACCAACAGACAATTAGAATCTTTCAAACACAAGAGAAAAATCCTCCAACAATACAAAAGGAAAGAATTTTGTATTAGACCGAGCAAAAAGATGGTGATAAAATCTGGAGCATTCTCATTCAACCCTGTAAAATTGTTGGGATTAAGCAGTGAAGACAAGTAGTATCAGTGGCGACACTAGGCCCCACATTCATTCTCCAACAATAAAGTCTTGAGCATTCCAGCTAGACACTACAGCCCTGGGCCCCACATACAACATACGTCAAATGGCGTAGACCAAGCTATACAAAAATATCTAGACCTAGAACTAGAACTACCTCCGATCATAACATTGCACAAAATTAAGCTAATATTCATAATGTGACAACAAAGAAGTAATAATTCCCGAACATTTTCCACAAACAAGCCTAAGGTTTACCCTCTGAACAAGTTTGGATATCATTTCTAGTGTAAGCAGCACTTTGCGTCCATGGCTAAGTTGTCTCCTACATCAGGAAAAACTAAAATTTAGCACACAGATGTATCAAAAGCATACAAAATAAAAGGAAATAGAAGTGATTTCATAAATCTAAAAAATTAAAAAATAAAGACAAATAGATAAAAAAAGATGCTCTGCTGAGAAATCCTGTAATACGAGCAAACCCCTCAAACAAAAGAATAGATTAAATACATGTATGAACTACGGGCCATTGGGATAAGGCTAAGATAATGACAATGATATGAACTAAGGACCTGTTTGGAGAAGCTACTAAATTAAGTTTCAATAAAAAGCCCTTTTTTTGCTGAACGATAGCAAATTTGGGCTCTCTGCAATTCTCACCAAACATTGCTTACATGCTGTCAAGGGGGGCCCACTTTGCAAAGCCAAAACCTGTCAAACGAACAATGGGCTAAACTAAAACAAAAAATTAAGTGCAGAAATAAAGGGGATTGCAACTACAGCTGTATATTCTCCTTCTCTTTTATCTTCACCTCTTTCCCTTTGGGAGGGACGAGATGCAGTCTCCCCTAAACATTATAAGTAGTCATAGAAAAAAGAATACACAGCTGCAAAAATAACCAACCCCTAGCAGACCCTTTTTTGCAAGATAATCAGCCAAAGCATTTGACTCCCTACCCACCCACTGGTATCTAAACGAAATGTGGCTTGTTAAACATTTGACTTTTTCGATGTCATCCCTATTACTCCAAGAAACTGAGTCTGGATTTGACAACCAACAACCAACCCACAATCACCTTTGAATCCCTTTCAATTAAAAGGTTCTCTACTCCTAGTTCATTAGCAATCCGAATTCCTTGTACTGCATCCAACAACTCAGCTCTTGTGGAATCCCCTATTTCAACTAGGCCTGAGAATAAGGAAATAATATTGCCATTCTCATTCCTCATAACTCCTATGCCAGACAGTCCTGGGTTACCCTGACTGCTTCCATCAAAATTTAGTTTATTAATCCCCTTCTGGAGGAGTTACCCAAAATGTTGCAGCCTGGTTTTCCTAATCAAAGTGTGTGCAACTGCAGCCCAATTCCTCCAAATATCATCAAATGAGAAAAGGCTGAACCCCCTTAAATCAGATGAAAGGATTCGGTTCCCTTCTCTTAAAGGATTAAACCCCCTTTTCAGTTGCTTCTTCTTTCAAAATACTTTGCTCATCCTATCTTTGTACCCTTTCCTGTTAAGAAAGTATGGACTAAGCCTATTCCCCCAAAGGTTTCTGTCTTTTGTTGGGAAATGTTCCTTAGGAAGGTTAATACTTTGGAAAAGGTGCAGAACAAAAGGCCTTACTTCTGCTTGTCCCCAAACTGGTGTTCTCTTTGTAAATCCAATAGTGAGTAATGTTTCCATCGGTTCCTATCTTGCCCCGTTGCTACAGCTATTTGGTGTTGGATTTTTGCCCACTTTGGTTGCAGGTGGTTGCTGCCAGTAGAGAAGTCTCTCAGCTGTTTGAACCCTCAGTTCTTGGCGATCAATCAAAAAGAGGAAGATTAAAGTGGAGGTGCATTAGGGCAGCTTCCCTTGGACTATTTGGGAGGAAAGGACAGTGATTTAAAAGGCATGCCTAGGCGCACAGGCGAAGCGCATTTTAGGGTATGCACCTCACCCTGGTCCTAGGCGCAACACTTTCAAAAGGCACATGCCTTGTACACCCAAGTGTGCGTGTTTTGAAAATTTTATGCTTTTTTTGCTTTTTTTAACCTAGCGGCTAGGTCGGGGCTATGCCCCCGGACCCCTGACGTATGCTTGCTCACCAAAGCTCCGAGAACCCCCTATTTGCTAATGTTGTTCATTCATTCATATTAATAAAATATCTTCTTAAAAAACAATAAAAATTATAAAATCACTATTTTTTGTGTGAAAATTAAGAATTAAGACCCTAGCATGGGCTTGCTTCGAGGAGCGTGGAACAAAGATGGCTCGTAGAATTAGGAATGTAATATGTTTTACATCACATTAGCTACTTGAAGTAATGCAATTGAGGAAAAAAAGAGATTGCAGGTTTTACATACTTGAAAACGTTTTATATGTTTGATTTTATTTTTAAATTTTCATTTGAATACGCTTTACATGTTATGTTTATGTATTTTAATTTTAGATAATAGGTTTTAAAACATTTATTTTAAATTTTAAGTTTATATTTTTTTACTAGCGGGGACCTATGCGATGCACGGGCTTTGTTAAGCAAAAGTTAACCAATAGAAACATATTAAGAGTAGACAATTGTTTTATATTCTGACTTTTTAACTAAATAATTAATATTTATATTTTATATAGTAATTTTAATAATTTTTTTCCAATGCAAAAATAAAAATAATCAATTTCAGCTAGCGTTTCCCATCAAACCAATGAAATGACCCAACTCGACTCGAGTTGGATGGTTTTCTAATATTTCAGGACGACTTTGGTTAAACAATTTTCCAACTCAATTAAGTTGGGTCAAATTTGGTTTGGTCATTTGTAAACTTTCCAAAATCGAATCGACCCGTATATATATATATATATACATATATATATATATATATCTTATTATTTTATATACTAAATATAATTATTCTAATAAGGGAAAGTGGGAAATTTCCCATATTTCTAACTCTAAAAATATTTTATATTGTAAATTTCAAATTTTTAATTTATTTTTTCAAAAGAACCGTTCTATTTTTTTTAATTTAAATTTCTAGTTTATATCTTTTGAACCAACCAACCCAAACTAATACAACCCGAATTGGTTGGTTTTCACAAATGGTCAGTTGATTTCAAGTAACCAACTTCCCAACCTGACCAAGTCCCAAATCTCCTTGGTTGTAACTAAGAACATAAAATTCACACTAATCTTAAGTACCATACTATTCCACAACCATGTCATAATCTGTGCATCTTCTTGTTCCCACTTATTGTAACCTTAGAATCAACTAAGGGTTTCTCCTCTTTCACATGCTTCACCTTATTCTTAGCCCCAACAAAGACTTCTACAGATTTAGCCCAAGGTACATAAATTTCACCATTCAACTTAATAGAGGTCATTCAACTTAAACTTCACCATTCAACTTAATCAGGGGGAATCGTAACACTAGGAGTCTAGATTTATGTTCAATGTTGTCTCCCATTGCTGCCATAAAACCAAAAAAAGCACTCACTATTACTTCACAACGCTTCACTTGCTAACCACCACATTGCACTTTTTTCTTTTTAGCCCTAACTATCACTACAGTCCTGTTGTTTCAGCCAATGTTCTAAAACACAAGGGCGTGTCACAAGGCATTCCACTACCTAGAGTCAGGAGGTGTAATTCAGAACATAAGAGGCATAAGCCTCCTTAAGAGAAGAGGGATGAGGAGGAAAGAGGAGGCATAAGCCTCCTTAAGGGGCAAGCCTTCTTAAGAAGAGGGGGATGAAGAGGAAGGAGGAGGCGTAAGCCTTCACTTTCTTTTCCTTTCCTTTTTTTCTTCTTTTCTTTCTTTTTTCCTTTTTTTCTATCTTTTTATATGAAATGTGCATGAGGTGTACGCCTCTAGCACGCCTCATGAAAAAGGCGTATGAGGCGTATGCCTAAGAGGTATCAACGCCTCTGGCATATGCCTCAGGGCATTTTGGAGCGCCTCACCTAGAGGCACGCCTCCAGGTGTACACCTCCCACGCCTTTTAAAAGACTGGTTTCAACACCACAACAGTCCTACTTTTTAGCCCTAAATGAAGAAGCCTACAGCCACAATCACAACTGCGGCACATTGCACATATGTTTTTTTCTTATTAGCCCTAATTGTCGTTGTAGTCCTGCTGTTTCAGCACCACAGCAGTCCCTTCATTTTAGCCCTAAATGAAGAAGCCTACAACCACAGTCACAACTTCTCCCTCTTGCACTAGATTTTATATGTGAGATTTGGGCTCATGAGTTCAAACTTGCAAGCTCGATTAGTTTTTTAAAGTTTCAAGTCGAAGTCAACTTATTGAATATTTAATCAAACCGAAATCAAACAAGAAAACAAAGTCCAAATCGAACCCATTCAAATATAAGAGTATTTTAGAAGAACCAAGCCAACACATGCTAAAGTTTGACTTGGCTTAGTTCAATTACACCCCTATCTTAGAGCCCTAGATTCTTTGCTTCAATCCAACCTCCAAACTCCAAAGCCTATTACACCAAAGGATGCCACAGTAACATTTTTTATAATAACAAGAAATTTTCATTAAAATAAAAATAAAAGTTACAGAGCATTCTCAAGTTTATATTCTTGAATTTCAAAAACGTCCCAAAAATTAGATGCTAGATCTGAGGCAGTCACTTGAGCAAATACAAGTAAGATGAACACCCAATCAATGACAGCCCTTCCTATAGAGGCCACAATCTTCTGTCTCCCATTGCTTATCTTCAAACACACACCATAGTAACATCACCTTTCATTCCTCTAACATCTACCTCCTCCGCGCATTTCTTCTTTGTTTTGCTATCAAATGTAAAGGAAGGAGAAAATAGAAAAAGAAAAAAATGGGCAAGAGACAGAAAAAACTTAATATAGACTGCAATATTGCTATTGGCCCTCATATCCAAGTTGTGTCTCAAGTTTCAGATGTAAAAATAAGTTCAATGTTTAAGCACAAATTCAAAATTTAAGATGCAACAGTAAACAACAACCAAGCAAGAGCCACTCAATTTACAAAAAGAACAATTTCAATATTAAAGGCTACTAAGAGAGAACATATTATTCCATTGAAATAGAAACTTAAATCCATCCATACTAATATAAGAAACCAACTCAAACGAGAGAAATGTTTAAATCAAGACCTCTTGAAGGTACCAGAGATCTTTGCAGAAAATATGTCGCAAGCAGCTGACATAAAGCTACACTTCCTAACTGTGCATATCTTGTCAATATATTCAATTACCTAAAAGAATCATCCCAATGTAATGAAGTAAGAAGACAAAGTAACAGAAAAAACTAACTTCAGTTTGAAGTAAAAATTAAAGAAGCAACAATACACGATATGTAGAACAGTAGAATAAATAATAAAACAACTACCCTCTTCTTTTCTTCTTTCTCACAGAGCAATAAAGCTTTGAATGCCTGACGAAACGGGCCATCATCACAACCAGGCAATGTAGTTTTAAGCATTGCCATAATGGATTTAATTACCTAAAATAAGATATAACATTAAAGCAATATCAAAAAACTGAAGCCATATCATCAATACTTATGCATATATCCTTTGAAAATGAAACAGAGATTCATGTATCAAATAACTGAATAAGACATGGATAACAATATTGTTGTTGCAACTGTTTCAAACAAAGACAACTTAAAAGGTCATCATTCTTTAAATTTTTGAAATTCCCATTAGTGTCTTTGGGTGTATGTGCTTGATGTAGTGCCAGCTCAGTTATAGTCCTTAGAGAATGTTTAATCGTCTTCTTGATCAGAGTTTTATGGCTGTTGATGGCTGTAATGGAACCTAGAATCACTCGCAGGGTGCCTAGAATCACTCTAGGGCATGGGACTCAATCACCATAGCTAGCATAAGGTGAAGAAAACTCAATAAACTTCATTGCCTTTGTGTAAAACGTCCATACATATTTATAGACTCTAAAACTCATAATAATCCTAGGAGTCAAACTGTTAGACTCATAATGGTCTTAGAAGTCCAACTGTTGGACTCAATAATCCTAGTAGGACTCAAATTAAGTTGTCATATCCTATTTCATATCAAAAGAAGACTCAATAACTCTAATCCTACTTATGCAATGACTCTGAAGTTTTAAATATAAACAAACTATAACTAGACAATAAAACCCTATTATTGGACCCTACAGAAAAATTATAAAATGGCAAAAATACCCTTGGTGTTCAATTCAGTCCAAATCCCAAGTACCATCATTACACCATGTCAGGACCTGTTGTAGGGCCTTCTTCTTTCTAGAATAAGTCTTTAAGGGTGCTGATCAAGTCCTATCAGTGCTTGTTTGTTCTTTATCCAGGTTTTGAGTCCTAAATGTTCAAACTTGATTCAAATCTATTAAGATTGTTTTCCTAGGACACATAAATATGTAGAAAGGTTATTATTGTCTTGATCATATCTCTAGAAAGTGGTATGCATGTATAGTCCTAACTGTTCAAACTTGTTGATGATTTCTTGTACCCATCCTTGTTTTTCTCAAGGGAAACCTTTTCCTAGGTTGCCAAAATGAATAGGTCAAATTCTTTTGCCACTTGTAGCATATTATTACCAGCCTATGTATAGGTTGAACATAAAAAATGCCTACCTAAAAGAAGATTTACAAGAAGTACATATGCAACATCTTCATTGGATGAAAGGGATAGAAAGGAAATTGGTGAGGATTGTCAAAGAGGTGCTGAGGTAAAGGTGATGATGAAGTTGGAGGAGGGAAAGAAGGTGTAGAAATTTCAGGTTCAAATTTTATAAAAGAAAAAGGAAATACAGAACTCATCCATTGCATGAGGTCGAGGACCTTGAAGCTGAGTCTGATGGAAGTAATAGACACAGATGAGAAAGATGTTATTATTGATGGAACTTAAATTAAAAATGCCCAAAAATGACAAGGTGGGCTTGAAGCGACACAATGTTTGGCACATGCATCTCAGCATAAACCTCACTAGAACTCTTCTCCTCACGATCCCCTTGCATTCTGATGATGCGCAATCCGGTCGGTCCTAGCTGCCGGTTACCTCGCCTCTGACAAGATTGGAGGTGCTTGAAACAAGGAAGAAAATGGAGACTTCCGGGGAGGAACCCGGTTGGAACACTCCGAAGCTCAAGTTAGTGCTCTTGAGAAGGCAAGGGAAATGAGGAACTTTAAGACCAGAAAGCGCAAGAATCACATACCTCCTTCCTTGGGAGATTGGGGTCTTTTATAGTCACCCTGTACACTTACTTCCATACCTCTACCAGTTCGGGTATCATTACCTCCGCCAGATCAGGAGTCATAACCTCTACCAATTGCCAGTTGCTAGTTCGGGTGTCATAACCTCCACTGCCAGTTGCCAGTTCGGGTGTCATAACCTCCACCGTTCCTTGTCAGGGCCGTCTCTACTACATCTGAGATGGCGGTGGCAGGTGGCCGTTGGCGGGCGGCTGTCATGTGTCGGACCCCTAATCAGTCAGGTGCGCCGTCTCCACGTACGGGCTTCCTGGGCGTCAGGTACAGTTGTTCAGTCAGGCGACTTGGAGCCGAAGTAGAGTGCGAGGTGGTCTTGAGTTCAGATAGAAGTGTGGCCCAAACTGCCCTTGGGTGGGCAATTCGGGTTTTTTGCCTTTTGTGCTTGTAAGGCTCAAAACCTCGCAAGGAGAGCTCGGGACTCTTTTTCTCGGAGCTCGGATTGTGGGCCCGCTACCGTGCCGAGATGGCGCTTCTGCCAGGTCACTCTCAGTTGCCTCCACGTGTCGCATGGCCAAGGGGTCGGGTCAAATCTCCCTCCATTAATTGCCCCCCACTGCCCATGCCTGGAGTCTTGACCCGGCGTGGGGAGTTCACGGGATGATGGGTGGATTTGCCTCGGGACACTTTGGCCTTGGGTTGGAACTTCTCCGGTTTGACCTGCTTGTGTTCTTGGCTCAACTAGGGTCGGCTTGGTTCGGCCAGAGGTCAATCCCGGGCTGCGTGTAGCTCACGCGCGTAAATGATTTCAAATTTTTGAATGTCAAAGATGCGCACCAAACTGACTTTTCCACGGGGGGTGCGCAGCTGATTTTGTGAGGAGCCGTTGGATGGTTTCGATCTTGGTCGTTGATGCGCAAGTACAGTGGCTATAAAGTGTAGGGGGCCCCTGGTCACTTTCCTTCGCCATCCTTCAGCATTCGTTTCTTGAGCTCGCGTCCAAGGTTGTCACCTCGCATCACTTTTTCGTAGTCCGATAGCTTTTCCTAGTGAGTCCTCAGCCTTCTCTTTGTTTCGATGTCTAGCTCGAGTGATTCAAATAGTCCTCTAGGGGGGGGTCAGATGCTGGTTCTACGAACCGAGCTGCTGCCCCAGACAGCTTTAGTGAGTCCGAGGCGGGGCCCGAGGTAGAGCTCGAGGAGGAGCTCGAGTTCGAGCCCATAGGTCGAGTCACTTCGGGTAGCATGGCATCAACCTCCCGTCGAGGTTGGGTGCCAGATAAGTTCGGGCCTTCCACTATGACACCCAAGAGGCTTTGGTCCCTTATCGCTCAGTACAACCTGCCCGGGGAATATACTTATATTTTACCCTCGGGCGATTTTCCTTGGGAGCATCGTCCCTGACCCCGGTGTCGCTTTAGACAAAGATACGATGAAGGGCCTCCAGGACTGGGCCCGGCTTGGGCTCAAATGCGAAGTTTACCTGACAAAAGACAAGCATATTCAAGTCGATCTGAGTTCGGGTAGGTTTCTTGCTCAGATAAAGATAATTTTGCTTTAGTTTTTATTCTCGTCTTTTGATGCCGAGCTCCTTTTTGCAGGTGTTATGGAGGCAGAGAAGACTCGAGGTGCGAGTTTGTTCAATGGCATGAAAAGGAGGAAGCGAGCTGCTAAGCGGGTCCGCGCCGATCCTTCCCGAGTTGCGGAGCCCGAGGCACCGAGAATGGAGCCTCCTGGGGAGCCCGAGGTGGCCCCTCCAGTTCAGGAAGCGGCAAGGGCTCTCTATGCCAACACTGCCTATACCCAAGCTGTGCCTTCAGGCTCGGGAAGTCACAATGCGGTTGGGAGCATGCTGGCGCCGAGCTACGCTCTCCGAAAAAGCAAGAAGGCCATTTGCCCCGAAGAGGTCGCGGCGTGGGCCGATCTTCCTACAAATCTCATAGGCGCCCGTGCTGCATCTCACGCCATGGTGGTAAGTCAGAGTAGTGTTTTTTTTTTTTTACCGAGCTGATTTTTTCTCGTTCTGGCAGGTGAACTCCTCTATCCACGCTTTGGCAATCCAGGCGGAGAGGGGCTTGAAGCGAGCGCAAGCTGCCAAAGCGGCTTCCCGTGTTGCGCGAGCCGAGCTAACGAGGTCTCGGAGGGACAAAGAGGCCTTAGGAATGGTGGTGAGACACATGGCAGACCTGAAGTTGGATCTGGAGCATCAGGTCGAGTACCTTCAGAAAGATATCAGGGAGAAGACTCAGATCTTCTCTCAGGCCGTCGAAGAGGCAAAGGTGAAAGCTGTCGAGGATTACATCGCTTTGCCGCGTTTTGACGACATGATGGTGGGCTCGTACAGAAGGGGTTTCAAGTTGAGCCAATGGATGATAAGGAACACGTACCCCGAGTTCGACATTAGCGCCATAACCACTTCGCGCATCACTCAAGAGATGGCTGCCGCAGATGATGACGACACGGATTCCGAAGACAAAGCGGGAACTTCGGGTATTATCGAAGTCCCTTCTGAAGGCAAGGAAGATGTACCTCCGGGCTTGTGAGCTCGTTTGTGTTTTTGTTTTTTTTGTTTTTTTTTTTTTGGATGAAGTGTAAACAAGTTCATTTTGCAATGAATACTTCCCCTTTTTTGGCAAAAGTGTTGGGCAGTTATTCTTTTTTCGCCGAGCTGGCTATGTTGCCGAATTGCTAGACTAAGGCCTCGAGGCGAGTTAACATAGTAAGGCTATGTGCCCGATCTGTTCTCCGCTCGGGTTAGTTAACATAGGCTGAATTGGGCCCTGGGCTATGCACCTCGGGATCCATACTTGTGCAGATTGCTTTCGTTGATGAGGTGCCGAGGTCATCTTTAGCTCGGTATTCTGGCCCTTACGGTGTCGAGGTCCTTGTTAGCTCGACATTCTGGGCCTTAGGGTGCCGAGGTCTTTGTTAGCTCGGCATTCTGGCCCTTTGGTTCTGGTAGTGGCTCATGGCCTGCTTACGGTGCCGAGGT